GGAGGGGCCAAGTGGCCACGTGGAGTTGATTAAGGTTACACAGTGTTGGTTTTGTTTGTTTGTTTCTTTTTAAAATTTGCATGTCAGTGAACACATGCAGTTGAAACCTGTACTCAAGGGTCAACTCTACATCATGACCAAGTGGTGTTTATCCCAGGAATGCAGACTTAATTAACACTTGAAAATCAATCAACTTAATTGACTTATGAACAAACTGAAGTCCATAATCATGTCAATAGAGAACTTTTTTTAGTAGAGAACTTTTAATAAAATTGAGCATCTAGTCTCCATTAAAAAAAAATCAGCCAATTAGGAATGGATGTGTTCTCCATCTTATAAAGAGCATCTTTGAGTTGACATCATACTTGATATTGAAGGATTAAATGCTTTTCTCTAAAATCAGGAGCTATTCTTTCTCACAGCTCCTATTTAAGTCCTAGCCATTATCATAAGTCAAGAAAATAAACAGCATTCACATCAGAAAAGAAGAAATCCAAGTCTCAGCTCACCGATGACATGCTTATCTATATATAGAAAATCACCCCCCACCCCCATCCCCCAAAAAACACGAGGGCTTCCAAAGTCTGTGGGAAATGGAATTACAGAAGATACACGTTGGAGTCCCCTTGTACAGCCATATAAAGTTCCTAAAACGGATGAAAGAACTTAGCAAGCTCATGGGATTAGAAGTGAACATTCAAAAGTCTCTTGTGTTTCCGTTTCCAGGTCGAGGCCAAGACTGAGTAGGTCCATGGCCCCCTGTTCTTTTCACTAAGCACAGTGAATGGCTCTACGCATGAGAGTAGGGTTTTTTTTAAAAAAAGAAGTTGTGGAAAAGTCGAAGTTAAAGGTAATGGAACCCTCCCAGGAACGCTGTGAAGACCTGTCCTGTATAATACAAAAATAAGAAGACTGAGCGGTAGAGCAAAGGCAGACTAGCCAGAACCTTGAAACCCAAGGAGCAATGCGGCAGTGAGTTGCCGTTCGGCCTCAAACGTAGCGAACTGAAATCAGCTCAGAAGCAGCAAACAACAACCTGCTAGACTGGGCGCTGGAGAAGTCCAAACCAACCTGACGGCCATCGAGCAGATGCTGACTCATAGCAGCCCTCTAGGACAGGGCAGACGTGCCCCCCAGAGAACTTCTGAGATTGTAGCCGTGTATGGGGGTAGAAAGTCCTGTCTTTCCTCTGTGAAGCGGCTGGTGGCTTCGAA